GAAGAAAGGCCCAGAAGGTAGTTGGCCTTTGGTCTGCTGTTCCATGGGATCATGACTCTCTGAGGAAGGGGCCCCCCAGCCTTAGCACTCCTGGCCCCAACCCCAGAAGTTGGTGTATGGAAGGTATCCTTTGAAAATATGAAATGTTTTGGGAAAAGCCTAATATGCCCTGCCCAGAGTCCTGAACACTCACCACGGGATTCACAGAGGCTGAAGAAATACCTGAGAATGGCCTAAGAGTGTCTGCCCTACCTGGGAGGGAGCAGTGAAGAGCCACTTCTTCCAGAAGCAGCCACAGCCAACAACTGTCTGCAGTTGGTGAATAAAATCTAACTCCTGCCAGGCAGGATCTGAGAGCGCAGAGCCCCAGAATTCCTCCAGGGGAAGACCTTCAGTCAGCATAGAAAGCGAGCTTTCTATTTCAGTGGAGTCTTCTCTTCCCAGCCTCACTTTTCCATTATCCATGAGTTCCTGGAATCTTCACCTCAGGCTCTAGAAGCAGGGACCCATGCTCTACAACAGCACCCTTTAAGACTCAGTATCGTCTCACTCACTGAGAGAACTTTCTCTCATCACCAAGGTGTCACAGTTACTCTCCATGTTTTTGCTTTTAATTGAGATTTTATATATATATATATATATATATATATGCTTCTTGAGATTATATTATAATTACATCATTTCCCCCTTTTCTTCCTTCAAACTTCCCATATACCCACTCTTCTGCTCTCTTTTAAACTTATGGCCTCTTTTCCTTTAACTGTTGTTATATGTGTGTGTGTTCCTAAATATATAAATACAACCTGCTCTCTCTCTATATATATATATATATGTGTGTGTGTGTGTGTGTGTGTGTGTCTGTGTGTGTGTGTGTGTATATATATATATATATATATTTACATCTATGTTTTCCAGGCTAACCATTTGGTATTGGATAATCAATTCATGTGTCCTCCCCTGATCCATCATGTTTTAATATCATCTGCGTACATATTAATTTCATTTCTCTATCTTGGATTCATTTTTTCCTTTAACTGTGGACTGTTGGGAAGGGGGGAAAATCTCTCACTTTGAATTCCCTGTGCTGCTCAGCACAGCATCTTACACAAACTAGATGCTCAGTGTGTTTACTAACTGAAGTATGAATTAACCATGTCAGTCAACATGAAAGTCGGGTTCTTTATTTAACCTAACTGGTACTATTTTAGCATGGTTGTTTTCTTCTTTCAAGAGCACAGCATGAACTGCTTTTAATGAGCAAATTGCTGTGTGCATATGTTTCTGCAAATCTGCGCTTTCTAGATATTCATCTTGAACACCCCTGAGTCCCAGAAAATTCAGCAGAAGATCTCATCCAAATCTGGAACTACCTTTCTGAATACAGCATAGTAACACTTTTTTTAAATCCCGTCCTTGGTTACTAATAAAGCAACCTTCTCACTCTCCAGGTTCCTTACCCGCAGCTCCCTGGTGTTAGGTTACAGCCACCTACTGCTGAGTTCCTGCCGTTTTCATCCAAGCAGAGCTCTCCCCTTTGAGCACTCTCACCAGAATAATGTCCCTGCCTGGTTAACAACCTAGAATGTATGGACATTGGTGCACAGAGAGAATTCTTCATTCTCTGCCCTGTGTATAGGTCAGTAGTGTGCAAGCATTGATTCACTATTTATCACAGGGTCTTTCTATGTCACCCTAGCTGGCCTAGAGTTTATCAGACTGGCTTTGAACATGCAGGTGATCCTCCTACCTCTGTTACCCAAGTGCTGAGATTACAGGTGTGTGCCTTTAAATAAACAGGAAACCAATTGTGTTGAAAGGTTTTCTTACCTGGATACAAGTCTCTCCACTGATACAATAAATCAGATCAGGCCGAATTAATGCACAAAGCACTCCTGGGTGGTCCCAGGGGAAGAGGAGAAACCATGAGGGAGAACCATTGGCAGGATGGGGAACCAGGTCTTAAATAACCTGAAGGCGTGGTCTTGACCATCTCAGGGAGGGGAACTGACCCTTGGTGGGCTTCCTTTGGGGGCATGGTCTGGAGTGGGAGGAGTGAGGCCAGGTGGAGCTTCCACCTAAACATGTGTGGCTTGGAACTATACGCATCCAAAATTTCAATGACCTGCAAGTCCTGTTATTTTCTAGATTAGTGACCAGTGAGCAGCTATGAAGCAACAGAAAGCATGCCACACGAATCACAGTATGTTTTCAAAGCAATAGAGAATGGTATGGAAGTTTCTGCTCCATAGACTATCCCTTCTGTGTCATTAACCCCTCACTCATCAGCTCCATCTCCTAGTTCATCAACTTGTTCCATCATCACGGAAACACTGCTACCTTCTGCGGAGGCATGGATAATGATTCATGGGACTAGGTTCAAATATAGGTTAAATATAATTTATTTCGGGGAGAAGGCACTTACACAAGAAGCAGATGGCCGCCGCAGGTTCCTGCTCTAAGGATCCCCACAGGCTGCTGCTCCCTGTGACTCGACCCACCAGATGCAAGAGAGAGCCAAGCCGCCTGCCTGGACCCCAGACCTAAAACTGACTCTCCATCACATCCACACCCGTGACCACACCCATTTGGGTGTGGCCAGCGCTCCAGGTGCGAGTGGGGTGGATATCTCACTACAACCTTCTTCTGACTCTTCCTCCCAGCAGTCCTCCCGTGGACATTTGCTGTCTCTGTTATGTTCTCTCTTTCATCCCTAGCTCTGTAACTGCCTCCCCACAATAATCCAAGCTTCACTAAAACTGCTCTCTTCCAACCAGCAGCAACAAACCAACTGGAAAATACAAGGGAGGCTTAATGCTTCCTAACTTACCAGAGCATTCAACTGCAGATAATGGTGTGAATCACATCTTTCAGTTTTGAAACCGTCAATATCATTATTCTGCCCATTCTCCTCCTACTTCCCCACTCACTTGTCTCCTTCACTGGTTCCTCTCCCCACCTCCTGCCCATCTCCCAGCTCTCTTTATTCCACAAATCTTCCTTCCTTTAAAGACATATTTGTTATTAATGTTCATACAGAAGTGATTCACAAGGTGACTCCCTCCAGCTCCCGTTTCTCCGCTGCAGCTTTAACCAGCCACCTTCTAGACACAAACTGTCTAATCAAGAATCTTCTACGGGCTGTAAAAAGCCAGGGGCCATAAACAGAACTCTTCTTCTCAGGCAGTGTTAAGAAGCACAGGGACAGAATACTTCTACGATGTTTTCAGTTGGTAAAAAAAAAAAATCATTAGAATTGGTTTGACAAAGCAGGGGGAAAAAGCCCATAGAAGTTTCTTGATTGTATAGTTTGTGTCCAGAAGGTGGCCTGCCTCTATGACGCTAAGTAGCCTGGGATATTCCATGTGACCCTTCCTCAGACATCTTTGACTGGAAGGTTCTGCGTGTGGTATTTGATATTCCGAATACACAGCAGTTGATGCAACAATGGTGGTCTCCTCCAAAGTCCACTGCAGTGCTGATGGCTACCTCCACCTCAGGCAGCATCGAGTAAGTAGAAGGCTGAGACAGACTAAATTTAGCCACATCCTGGTACTCCACGTAGCCTAAGACTTGGCAAGACAATCTCTTAGGCAGGCACACTGCTGACCTAGCGTGGTGAACTGGAGCTCAACCAAGGAAGAAAACCTGCAATATCTGTAACACAGAAATTCAGAATTCTGCTGACTCATCCTGACTTAAAGCTGCAATAGCACTTGAGTAAGAAGCATCCGAGCTTACTCCGCAACTTTTTTCTGCAGAGCTGACAGAATTTGGCATACAAGAAATTCAATAGTCTTCTGCAATTCCTCCCACGTTGGCGGAGGTCACCTGCATGACAGTGTCTGGTATCATTAACTAATAGTTTTCTTATAAAATGTGGTCCTGCTTAAACTACTGATGAGAGCTGAAAATCCTGTCTAGTTTTTCTAAAACTGAGGAGAGCCATTCAAGAATCCACCTTTACCAAAGGCTCAGTACCGGTTCAAAGTGACCTCTTAGGGCCTGGATAAGGCAAAAACTTTTTTCATACTTTGCACAAGAACAACTGTACAAACTGTTCCGATTTGGGATGAAGCATTTAAATATCAATATAAACACAGACACAGAGACAATGGAGTAAATTTTCATCTGTGCAAAGTTTCAAAGAATCCACATTAATGTGAATCCTGAAGCAAAGAACCTTCTCAAAATAGATACTTGTGAGTCATTGTTTACTGTCTTCTTCCTACATAAGTCGTGTATTGCATTATAAAAAGCAAAATGGAAGAAATTTCCAGACTGAAGTCTAATTATGCTTCAGTCAGTAGTTTATTATGCTTCTTATATACTGATTTCTACAGTTAACATTTAATTAACTAGCATTACTTCAAATATTTATTCCATTTAAAATCACAATATGACAAGACTGGGCTCATCAACAGTCAACCATGAATCAGAGAGGGGCTCATAGGGCCCCTATCCCTCCTTATTGAACTACTGGCTATTGATGGATTCTGGGAGGAGGTGGTAATGTCTTTGGTTATGTGCCAACTGATAAGCCCAGCAGACTCCAGTGGATATTTTCAGACCCCACAGTCACATAGACAATTCTGGTTAAACTCAGTGGGTCTCAGAAAAAGACAATGAGATAGGATTATGGAAAGGAATCTTGAAGAGTTAAGGAGTGGGTGTTTGAAGTGGGAAGGACTATCACAGGTGAAGTTACAATAATCAGAATCTTTTTATATGTATGAAAGTATCAAATTATCAACAACTCGATGAAAGTTATTAAAATCCTACTATATAAGTTCTCCATTTGGAACCTGTAACGTTAAATATCTTCCTTCAGGAAAAGGAAATAAAGACACAGCTACTGTTTAGACTTCTCACACTTCTTCAAGTATTCTTTGACACATAATCAACTGGGAAACATCAGTTGTCTCAGCACAGACATTGTTTTGATGAATCCTAGAAATAAAGTTACTGTCCCTGCTTCCTAAGAGGATCTGCTGCATACTTACTTGTTCAATATGAGGTCAAGAATGAACTTGGAGCCAAAGGCTTCGATCTGGAAGCTCGCCTGAGCCAGATGGACAGCCTAAATGCAAGAAGACAGAAGGACAGCCTTAAGAGACATTTACAGGACTAGCATTTTTATGTACTTTTTATGCATCTTTATGTATCATTGAATTTCTTTAAAGGACTAGGCGTCCCATCTTGGTTCTATTGGAAGACCCACATATTCGAGCAGCAAAGAGCTAACAAACCCACTGAGACAAGAGTCAGCAGCATGATCTGCTGGACTTCCAAAGTGACCATGATAAATTTAGCAGAACTCTAATTAAGGCTTGACTTTGGACTAGTTTGTGACCCAAATGAAGTTTTCTGTACACCTAAATGAGAAACCATGCCAGCACTCTGCCCTTCTGTGGGAAGAGGAACTTTGTGTGACAGTAAAATGGGATGGCACAGCCTTCTGACATCTGAAAGCACTTGGAGTATAGCCCCTGGGAAGATTATATTTACATTCCCCTCTAAGAGTCACATATTTACAAACAATGCCTTAATTCAACACCAAACAATAGTCCCATCTAAGTCAGAATCATATTTAGCAGGTGTTAAAAGATTAGCATGGGCCAAAGAAGCTCCCTGAATAATGTAAATTAATAAATCAATGAGGAGCTGTCAAAGTATTATCCAATGTAAAGTCTTACTTTGTTATCCTATCAAGTTAAAAAAAAAAAGCTCTTTGCCTGGTAATTAGAGACCAACTTAAACATGACAGACTTCCCCTCTCGGACTATATATTTCCAGTTCTCTCCATTGCTACTCAAGGTTCCTCTGAGCACTCTATGCCATTACTATTTATCAAATACTCCCCATCCTTCAAAGGCATCCCAATCGCCCTCCATCATACATACTCTAAGAATGAACTCTGATCGTCAGAGATGCAGGAACACTTAGTTTTCCCCTCCTCTCTCTGGAGGAGTGTTTGCTTCCTCTGTTCCCTCTAAGGACAGTAAACACCACAACACATGTGGCAGGTGTCTTGTGATTGTAGATAAATGACCGTTTCTCAAAACCATCCAAACCTTAAAATAACTCACCAAACATTTATTGTCAAGGCTATTATCTTGTCACAGTCATAAAAACACCAACAATAAAACTATGTTTTTCACTTCAGTCAGTCACAACTGCCGGTCACTCAATAAAGTCAGTAAATATCATTTTAAAGGCAATTAACACATACTAAATTTTATATACACACCGGGTGCTTCCTGCTACCCTAATACCATCAGCCTCCATCCCAAAGTCCACATAGAGCAAGATTATCACACATGTCTGAGCTTCCTGCACCTAAACATAAAAATAGGAGCTTCCGGCCTTGTCAAGTGAGGTCCCTGCTGTCGATGGTGAATCCTCTACATAGTCAGGATAAACTGCATAGTCTTTTCATGAATTCATTCTGTATCTCACACCATCAATTTTTGCTTAAAGACATTTATGCAGATAGATAAACAAGAGATTTTTTTCAGCTATGGTTTCCAAAAGCTTTTTTTAAAGATCTAGCACTTATTTCCTGAGACTATAAGTATTTAAGCATATTTTCCTCATAAAAAATATTATGTAGCAGAGCAATATCCACTTGTGGCAACCTGGCTTATCCAAGTTGATCTGTAACCTCCTAAAGCTTCTTTGTAAACTCTAAGAATCTGTTACCAAGCCAGGTAGGGCTGATGTTCTAGCAAATAAGCAATGGAGACAAATATAAACACCAAGAGGATCCCGTTGGAAAATAGGGTAGCCTGGTGATAAACACAGCAAACCCATTTTGTGCGACTGCTAGGACTTACACAACTTGATTTTTGCTGAGTTTATCCCGTCAACAGACAAGCTTCAGTGTCACAGAGTTCATTGCAAGACTTAGCAAATAACACTGAATCTGCCCTTTGCCCTTCCAGAAAGTTCATTGCACAAGCACCTATGAAGACACCATAAAGATAAAGGTAGAAGGCACAGTCCCAGGGAACCCCAGCCTCAATGTCTAAGCAGCCACCACTACCAAGGTTGAGCCACACTCAAAGCAGCCTCAGGACAGCAACTGTGGAACAACTTCCCTGATGAAGTGCTCCCAGGATAAAATTTCAGAAAGCGAAGTAAGACTCCTCCTATGAAGGAGACAAAGATGTATTTACAAAAATAGGGGCCATAAAAATGACTGTGGGAACAGAGAATTGTTTCCACATTTTTAAAAATCATGTGTATCCTGTAGGCAAACAACCTGCAGAGTAAAAGTCCATGGATCTGGACAGGTGGGCTGCCCACTGGAAGGCCTTGTGTGACGTGCTCAGTGACTTACGATGGCAAATGTGCATGTGTGGCCAAGACCGCCACCTTCCCTCCAAATGCTCACGCCTTGAGTTCACTCAGCAGCATCTAGTTCACACCACACCACCATCATGACTCTCCCAATGTACAAATCAGTTACTCTCCAGAAGAGCTGAGATAATCAACCCCAACAGCAACAATGTGCCTGTTTTCCACAGGGATAAAGATACCGTTCGTTATCTTTATCATCAGAGATACCTTAACAATTTGACATTTCATTTCTAACAGGCAGGTCACACAGTTTTTATAAAAATACGTTTTTACCACATATTGATCTCCCTGCTCATATTATTTTAAAACAACTGTAAATTCACTTAATAGAGTTCTGTCCATTTTAGATAATATATTTTTCTTACATTCGGTTTACCTTGCCATTGCTTTTCATAATGCAAAGGTACACATAGCACAGATTCTACACACTAAGCCCCTGGCAGGGACTGCTTTCCCTATTTTCCTGTTATTCCTGTACTGTCCTTGACGCCACACGTAAACAGATTTCAATTTCTGAACTCAGTTATCGCATTTCCATTTAGAAGATTTTATTAACAAAATTATACAGTTTGAAATTTTTTAAGTTTGAAATATACTTTATAATCAGATCAAGTGAGTCCTCCACTACTGCATGTATATGTTTATAAGTGCATGTCTTTTTTACTTTTGAGACAAGTTCTTTCGGGAGGAGGTGTTTTTTGTTTGATTTGGGTTTGGGGACAGAGTTGTTTACTTATTTATTTGTTTGTTTTTCCAAGACAAGGTTTCTCTGTGGCTGTTGTGGAACTCCTCTGTAGACCAGGGTGGCCTTAAACTCAGAGATCCACCTGCCTCTGTCTCCCGACTGCTGGGATTAAAGGCGTGTGCCACCACACCTGGTTTTGAGGCTAGTTCTTAAGCAATCTGGCTAGACTCACACTCATGCTATACCTGAGGCTGGCCTGAATTGCTGCCACTGCACCCCAAGTGTCAAGATTATACAGTTAAAAAAATCAAGCCTGGATCATACATTTCTATTTACACACATACATGCATACATATATATCTATATGGTTTTACACACACACACACACACACACACCTTCCAAGGGGTAGGAAATTAGATGACTAGCAGAAATGAGTAGGGTTTTGTGTAAGGCAGTATACCACTCCTGACTGCTCTAACGTGAGTGTAGAATTGTTAAGATGCTACAAGTTGCTGGAAATACAAAGGCCACTTGAACTATTGTTCCTCTCTTAAAAAGAAGGGATGAAATGGTGAGCTTTATATAAAATGAGCACCTCAGACTACTTCAGAGGAAACGGATGAACTGCAAGAGGTCAGCTGTGTTCTCCTTCAGGACGTCTGTTAAACAGCCTTTCTTTTATAAGGACATTGTCAGTAATGGCACTGGGGAAGGGCACAGAGTTTTATAGGCAAGAAGCATCATTTCACAAGAAGGAGTGCTTCGCTGGGCTCAGAATTACCACCCTGAAGGACTGGAAACAGCTGTTGTCTCAGCACTTCGCTACTTTTCTTGTGACTAAGAATCTGGCCCAGGGAAATTGCAGGAGCTCCATAAAACAAAAACACCAACTGCAATTATATACACAAACCACCCTTGCTAGAGACAATTCATGAGTCTTAGCAGTACTCTTGTCTTCTGGCTCCTTCCTTTCTCTCTCTCTCTTCCTCCCTGCCTACCTTCCTTCCTTCCTTCCTTCCTTTCTTTCTTCCTAGTAGACGGCACCTAATGCTACCCATATTACACTTCAGAAGTCCATCCCATCCTAGGCCAGGTGCCATTTATGCTTTCCCATCACACAGTGCCATGATAAAGCACACACAGCTTGTATCAGGCACACTGAGTACGCTGGAGAGGCACAGTGAGCTGTTCTTGAGGTATATTCAAGGACAATCAATAGACATTAAAATGAGGAGAAATATATCTACCACCTATAAAAATAAATTAAAAAGCAGTCAGTTGAGCATACCCACATTGTCATGAAACCGTGTTTGACATGGTATTCACTGCCGTTTGTGAGAGTTGAGCTCTCTAGAGTGTACCTATCACTAGAACTAAAACTGGAAAATAGAAAGTCTATACTTTCCCACTTACAAAACCTAATTTCAGAAGAGTGAAAATTGAGAAAGTTATAGTACAGAAAGGTCTATGGTGTCGATCTCCATGTCTCTTTAGATACATGTATATGCTCTACTCCACTGTAGCTTGGGAAGCAGAGAACAATCTGGAAGTGCTTTTCTCTTAAATGTGTTCTGCTGTTTATGGAAACACTCATTCAGTAATAAGGGAAACATTAAAAGTGACTAAGTAAGGGCTGGAAAGATGATTTTGCAGTTAAGAGCACTAGCAGTTCTTACAGAGGACCTGAGTTCAGTTTCAAGCACCTTCATCAGACAGTGCATACCCCCTTGTAACTCAACATCCTCTCTGGCCTCCTCAGACATTGCACTCACACTCGCAAACATAAACTCGGCACACATATACAGACATAATTTTAAAATAGAAACAAATTTAAGTTACATATTCATCCCCTTCTCAGGCTTGAGTCATCCAAGAGCACTGTTATGCCTACCCAGAATGCCCAAGGATTTGGCAGGGCAGATGTTCTTACTACTTTTCATATAAAGAAAAAAATTTAAGCAATAGAAGGTTAAGTGACATTCTTGTCCAAGGCTGTACATCAAAGGAGTGCATCATATTAGCTTCAGTTTGG